CACTCTACCCAGGGGGATAGCTTGAGACTCCGTCTCAAAAAAAAAAAAAAAAGATAGTGCAGTGTGGGTAAGGGTGATAGAGGTTGGTAGGGTACTGTGCTTGATAGGGTGGTAAGGGAAGTTTGCTCTGAGGAATGGCCATCTGAGAGGAGCCCTGAGTGACGACACATAGCGAGCCTGTGTATACTCAGTGGCCTGCAGTCTGGGCAGAAGGAACAGCACTGCCCTGAGGAGGTGCCTGGATAAGGAAGATCCAGGAGACCAGCATGACTGAAGCAGCACAAAAGGGGAAGGATGAACTCCGCTCAGGCTGGGTTACTGATGGGGTGAGGTGGGTTAGGGACCAATTTCACCTAGGGCCTCAGGAAAGGCTCCCAGGGCAGGGAGGGATGGGCTAGTTCTGAGAAGATGAAGCCTACCCCACCTCAAGCACCCTATCATGAGGACACCAGTTGACCCTTCCTCATTCAATCCCAAGGCTGGCTTTTTCCATCCTAGCTCTGAGACTGCTGACTCAGGCCTACCTCCCAGGACCCCATACAAATGGATTCCCCTTTTCTCCCCACAGCCGCCTCCAGAATGATCACCAACAGCCTGAATCGTGACTCCCCACCTGGTACCCCCCCCAGGCGGCCAGACACCAGCACATCCAAGATCTCAGTCACTGTGTCCAATAAGATGGCAGCAAAGAGTGCCAAGGTTGCAGGTGAGGGGACTCGGACAGGTGGTAGGAGGAGCTGGAGGGAATATGGGTTGGCAGAAGGTATTTGGGGGTCATGCTCCCAATGTTGTAAGGTGCTTTGTAGGCCACAGGGTATGCAGAGCATTTGGACTTGAATCACTTCTGTGAACTTGGTCAAGTTACTGCATCTCTGTGGGCCCCACTTTCTACATCCATGTAGTGGGGGGTGGTGATGCCCTGCCTGAGAGGATGGTGAGAAGCACTTGAGGTGACGTGTTGGAACACATGTGCATTGCAGTTCTCACTCGGTGGTGCAGTCTTTTTTAACAGGTGTTCACTGAGCCCCTCACTGGTGCCCGGCCCTGTGCTCGATGCCTGGGGTCAAAGGTAAAGAACCTACTGCCTCTTCCTAGCAGCCAAAGGATCCCATAAAACCTTCAGTCTGGTCCTATAATAGCCTTGTCTGTAACTCTCAGGGCTTCCCATTATTCCTATAAGAAAGCCCCATCTTCCCCACATAGTCTTATAGGGCCTGTGTAATGTGGATTCATCTCTTGCACCTCCTTCTTGCTTGTTGGCTCAGCTCTCCTCTAGCCTCCTTCACCCCATGGGGCCTTTGCCTCTCATGTTCCCTTTGCCTGGAGCACTCTTCCTTCTCAGACTTACCCTCTTCCAGTCTCAGCTTGAAAGCTGAGAATAGGACTCCAACCTTTGTACTTCCAAGCCCTCCTCTGTCCACCATACTCTCCTGCCTTTGTTGGACCCACAAGAGCAATCTTATGGTGTCTTGAGGCACATGTGGAAACTGAGGCCCAGGGCATAGTGTTTCTGATGCCCACTCCCATCATGCCCTGTCCACCTCCATCAAGGGGTCTCCCCTTTGTCTCATGTGTTCTGAAGTGCCTCATCCCTCTGATCTTTGATACTGAAAAGATGGTGACTCTTTTACCCTTCAACACATTTAGGGGTTCTTTTTTTTTTTTAATTGAGGTAAAATTTACTTGAACACAATACAACGACTTGTAAGTATAGAGCTTGATTGCTTGTTAAAAGTGAGCATAGTCATGAAGCACTACCTAGTTGGAGCGCTAGAATCTTTCCACCACCCAGCACGTTCCCAGTCTGAGGGAATTTGGTGCTAGATGAGGGTGTAAACCGGCTAGGGACAGGGACAGAGCCAAAGAGAGTCTGGGAGGCCTGCCACAGCCTGGGGATTCTTGAGTGCCTTCTGCAACCTCATGTTGCCCAGACCTCTGAGTTTCTCAGTGGTTCAGTCAGTGGTGGTGTGGATGGTTGGGAAGAGAGGGGATTTGCAGACATGCAAATGCATTAAAGGGCACCTGGGTGTCCTTTGCCTGGTGTCCATCCCCCACTCCTGGAGAACATTCCATCTGAAAGGGTGCTGATCCCCTGCCTTCCTTTCCTAGCAGCCCTAGCCCGCCGAGAGGAGGAGAGCCTGGTTGTTCCCACCAAGCGGCGCAGGGTCACTGCTGAGATGGAGGGGAAATACATCATCAACATGCCCAAAGGCACCACCCCCCGGACTCGCAAGATCCTGGAGCAGCAGCAGGCAGCAAAAGGTACTGGACCATCAGAGGAGAAGCAGGCTTTGGTGTGGAAACTATTTCTCTTTACTGCATCACAGAGAGTTGATCCTGTCCTTCAGGTGGTGGCTGAGAAGCAAGCTCTAACAGGGAATTCAGGGGGCCTTGGGCCAGGGGGATAATAATAGTGGCCACAAAAGAGGGGCCTCTAATATCACCTCTAACCATGCAGTTAGAGGGTGGGCTCCTCAGGACCTCTCCCTGAGGGGCAAGGGCAAGATTCAGTGATGGCCTGCCTGTGAAGTGAATGACCATGTCTGGCAAAGGGCAAGTGCCTCAAAGTGGACACCATTGTTATGAACCAGAGGAGACTAGTTGAGATTCAGTCCAAAGGTAGGGCTTGTAACAGGTAGTACAGAGATGGATTCCTTATGATAGGATTGTTCTAGAGTATTGTACAGATACTTGTTGACTCATGATGAGGTTATGCTTCAATAAACCCATCTTAAGTTGAAAATGTTGTAAGTCAAAAATGCATTTAATACACCTAACATACTGAACATCATAGCCTACCTTAAATGTTCTCAGAGTACTTACATTGGCCACAGTCATTGGTAACACAGTGCACAGTACAGTATCAGTGTTTGTCTTGTGATCCTGGGGTTGACTTGGAGCTGCTGTCTAGCATCATGAGAGGGTACTGTAGTGTGTGTCAGTAGCCTGAGAAAAGATCAAAATTCAGAATTCAGAGTACTTTTCTACTGAATGCATACTGCTTTAACACCATACTGATGTCAAAAATCTTCACACACAAGACGTGGACCATCTGTGTGCATTCTCTTGTTGTTGTTGTCCTTGTTGTTTAGCAGGCCAGCCTGAACCTGCCAACCTCAGTATATGTGGCTAGCACCCTACTCACTGAGCTATAGGCACCAAGCCTGTGTGCATTCTTATGGGAAAACTTCCAGGTGATGCAGAAACATATATAGTAAAAATCAATTTTTTCCTCTCCCTCCTCTGTCCCCCATCTATTAATAGCCTGGCCAGACTGGTGTCTATGTCTATGTATATATTATACATGTATAGATATTGTTTCCTTTTTGAAACACAAATAACATCATCCTAATAAGTATTGTTCTTTTTGAGAGACAGAGTTTCACTTTGTTGCCCTTGGTAGAGTGCTGTAGCATCACAGTTCATAGCAATCTCCAGCTCTTGGGCTTAGGTGATTCTCTTGCCTCAGCCTCCCAAGTAGCTGGGACTACAGGCACCTGTCACAACACCCAGCTATTTTTTTATTGCAGTTTGGCTAGGGTTGGGTTTGAAACTGTTACCCTTGGTATTTGGGGCTGGCGCCCTACTCACTGAGCCATAGCTGCCACCCATAAGTATTGTTCTACAGCTTTTTTTTTTTTTGACAAAGTCTCACGATGTCACCTTGGATAGCATGCCGTGGCATCACCATAGCTCACAGCAACCTCAAACTCTCCAGCTCAAGTGATCCTCTTGCCTCAGTTTTTCTCTTTTTAGTAGAGATAGGGTCTCGCTCTTGCTCAGGCTGGGCTTGAACTCCTCAGTTCAAGCAATCTACCTGCCTGGCCTTCCAGAGTGCTAGGATTATAGGTGCTAGGATTACACTGACCCTGGTCACTCTATGACTTTTTTATTGAGATCTTTTCACATTAGTGCATGTAGATCTTCTTCCTTCTATTTTTAATGGTAATTTTTGTTTCTGTAGTATGTATATATAATAATTTAGTAAACAATCTCCAATTGGTGGACATTTAGGTTATAATTTAGGGGAGGACTCATTACCATTCATCAGAGGCCTATGACACCAAGAAATGAAAGGGCCAAATAGGGATTAAGAACTCCTCCCATGCACACATTTCATGAACTTGTGCCTCAGCACAAGTGAGGTATGTGAGTATCAGTTCTAGTTGACTTTTCCCACATCTGACAACTAGCTCTCTGTGGGCAGGTTCTGGCCACATGAGCCAACAGTATATACACAAAACCTGACTCAGCACCATCTACCCTGCCGGTCCCAGAGCTGACTGGTGTTTGGGCTGGCCATGTTGTCCCTACCTGTGGTGACTGTACAGTACTTGGCCTGGGCCCACATGGGTCACTCAGCAGATGCCTGACAGCCTCACTTCCCTCCCAGGTCTCCACAGGACATCGGTGTTTGACCGCCTCGGCGCAGAGACCAAGGCAGACACGACAACGGGGCATAAAGTGAGTTGGGAATGGAGGAGCAACTCTAGACTCACAAATTCTTGTCTTCTCTGGGTGGTGTTCCTGGCAGTGCCCATCTCATCCCTCACATGCCCCAGCTCACCCACCTTTCCAATCTCAGTGCCCTTCTTTGTGCTGGCTGCTCGCTCTCTGTCTTCTGCCCTAACTTCTTTCCTAACTTCTAGCCCCAGGGATCCAGCAGACTCCTGGATGCCTCCCACCCACCATGTCCTAAACTGGCTTCAGCATCTTCTCCCAAAGCAAGTTGTCTCCTGGGCCCTCATGTCAGAGCTGCCCACCACTCACATTCCTGTCAGTCACTGAGTCTCATGACCCCATCTGTCTCCACCTCCCCTGGCACCTCCCCTTGTTTGGATAGGACAATAGCTCCTAACTGGTATTGCACAGCTGCTATTAACCCCCTCCAGTCCCCTGTCCCCACAGCAACAGCATGTGCTGCCCATGGGCAGGACCCGTTCCGCTCCCCTGCTTGAAGCCCTTCAGAGGCTCTTCGCTGCTCACAGTGATACTTGCTCCTCTTGCCATGGAGGCCTGGCTGTGTGGCCTTGGCCATGTCACTCAAGCCCTTCATACCTCAGCATCCTCATCTGTACAATACCCACCTCAGAGAGCAGTCATGAGGTTTAAGAGAGATGATATCTGTGCAGTGCTGGGGGGTCTGGCATGTGGTAAGCTTCCCAGCTGCATTCTTGTCTCTGCATCCTTCACCTGCCAGGACACAACCACTGTGGCTTTCTCTCCCTTTCTGGAATCTTACCATAAGTATGACGATAACATCCAGGATCATGTGGCATGCAAAGAACTTGGCACATAATGAGTGCTCAAGAAATAGGATTATTTTTCCTCCTTAGAGACTTAGAATATGCTCTTTTCTCTGTTCCTTTATTCTGGAGGGCCTGGCTTCACAATTGGGGTTTCAGAGAAAGTCCTCTGAACTCCAAGTGGAGATAAGCTGGCCTTGTCTCCTGCCCTCCAGCACTCTACTGTCCTTCACAGACTGCATCACTGTCATTCTTACAGAACTGTTTGTGTCATTTCTGATGCCAAGTCTGTCTACCCAACTGGACTCTGAGCCCCATGAGGGCAGGGGGCTCATCACTACAGTGTCCTCAGCACTTCCCAGCCTAGGGCCTGGTACAGAATTGGGACTCAGGAAATTTACTTTGGTCAAGTGCGTGTCATGTTAATCTTCCATTCGTGCCCCCCTTGCAAATGATCTTCCCTCTGCATGGCACAGCCTTTTTCTTCTTTGTAGACCCACTTCCATTCAACCTGCAGATCTCAGCTCAGATGTGCCCTCTCCCAGAAAGTCTTCCCCGAACATTCAGGCAAGGTTAGTTGCTTCTCTTGGACTTCCCCAGGCCCCTGGCAAGCCCCCTCATGACTCTCATCACTGTTTAGGGTGTCAGTGGCAGGTGTTCCTCTCAACTGTGAGTCCCAGGATGTCAGGTGCAGGAGGCAGCTCTCCATGAGTGTGTACTGAGTGACTAAAGGACTCCCTTGTCCTGTCTCTGACCTCTGCAGCCCACAGGAGTCTTCAGTCGCCTGGGGGCCACCCCAGAGATGGATGAGGATCTGGCTTGGGATAGTGACAACGACAGCAGCAGCTCTGTCTTGCAGTATGCTGGGGTCCTCAAGAAGCTAGGGCGGGGCCCAGCCAAGGCTAGTCCCCAGCCTGCACTGACTGTCAAAGCCAAGGCCACAAGCTCAGCAACAACGGCGGCTACCCCCACGCTGAGGCGCCTGGCGCTTTCCACACACTCTGGGCTTGAGAGGAAACCAGAGTCCCTGTCCAAAGTCAGCATCATCCAGAGACTGGGCAAGGCTGCCCTCGTGCCTGAGGCCCAGGACAGCCAGGTCACAAGCACCAAGAGTAAGTCCTCGGCCGAAGTCAAGGTCACCATTAAGAGGACTCTGGTGGGGCCCCGGGGGAGCAGCTCCAGCGAGGGCCTTGGTGCCCAGATGGACCACGCAGGCACTGTGAGCGTGTTCAAAAGACTCGGCCGCAGGACCTTCTAGCCCACGTGTGGGGCGGGTGCAGGTGGCAGAACCGCAGGTGTCTGCCCCAGCCCCCTCCAGGCCCCTGGCTCCGTCCCCTTCCCGCCAGCTCCTGGATGGCACTGCTGTCTCCCTCAGGTGTTCGAGCTGGGCCCGAGTATCCTAGGGACTCACCCCATGCTCCCTAGTCTGGGTTGGGTGTGGCCTGACCTTGCCCACTCTGCAACTTTCCTTCTTTCATGTCCTCTATTTTCTCCTCTCTCTGGCCTTGGCAAAACCCACATTTCTACCTCTCCCAAGTGCCAAGGGCGATTTTCTGTCCTATGTTTCCCCTTCTTCCCTCTCAGTAGTAGCATCTGCTGCCTCAAACCCCAGCTCCTCAGCCTCCCTGTCGCCTCATTGCCCACAGAGTGGGTGTCACCTTGGGGGACTCCCTTATCCCCCTACCCCACCTCACTCCTCTGTTCCTGCCCCTATTACTTTAATCTCTCTCTCTTTCCCTCTCTTCACTCTGTTCATTTCTCTTCTGTTTTCTGTCCCTGTGGCAAGGCCCGACTGTCCGCTGTGTCCTGCCTGACCCTCCTGCACCTCTGGCCTCCCAGCGACCCCCTCATCGACAGTGGCGTCGAACCTGTAAAGACTGTTAGCCACCCTCCACTCCCAGGCTGGAGGGATGGCCCCAGACCCTGGGCTGCTGCCAGGGCACCTCTGTTTAACTGCCTTGGACATCTTTTTCTCTGAAAGTCTGTGGCGGGTGGTGGGCAAATGGCCCTGGGAAGGGCAGCCAGTGCTGAGAGAGAAGACAACGGCTGTTTTAATATATTTTTGTGACTTTCAAACTGTTTCCCTTCCCTCCTTCAGGGTGAGTCACACAACTGTTTTCACATAAGGACAATGTGGGGAGGGCGGTGCTGGCAAGGGATTGAGCTCTAACTCTGAAGGTCAGGCTCCCATGTCAAAGCTACCTCTTTGTTGTAGGCCCTAAGTGGAGTGGAGAGATGTCACAGTCAACGTTCAGTTGGGTTGCCTTCTCTCCCTAACAGGCTGTAGTGATCTGTTACTCTGCCCTCTCCCCCCAATACATTTCACCTGTTCCTGCCACTCTGCCTGTTAGTGGCTTTTCAAACTATGGGCTCAGTTTGTGAGGCAGTGAGTCTGAGTCTGCACTGATTTCACCATTTACCCCCTCCTGCTTCACGGCTCCTATGTGCCAGGTCTGTTCTAGGAGCTGGGGAGCCTGTAGTGAGCAGGGCAGATGAAGGGCCTGCCTGCATGGCTGGCCTCCCCAGTGAGGGAGAGAGAGGTAAAGTGGTCATGTTGGTCAGACAGTTGGGGTCTGGGAGAAAGTGGCCAGGGCCACTTGAGATGGTGGGGATAGGAAGACATTTCACAGGTAGTAATACGTAGACTGAGCTGAGAATGAGAAGACATGGCTTTGCAAACAGAACAGCATTCAGGCAGTGGGACAAGGGACATACACACAGAAGGCTAGTGTGGCTGGCAAATGGGGGGCCTGCCATCTAGCATGAGGTGAAGGCAGGTAGAGAGGAACTAGATGACTTGGGGCGTTGTGACTCTGAATGAGGAATATGAACAGTAACCTGAGAGAGCTGTGGAGTTTTGGCAGGTTTGAAGAAGGGGAGTGATGGTCAGATTGCCCTTTAGGATGATGGCTTTGGCTGTTGGGAGGGTGGAAACCACTGTACTAGTCCAGGCAGGAAATGAAGGTGGCTTGCAGCAAGGTGGTGGCAAAGAGGAGTAGAGAAGAGGGTGGGTGGGCAGTGCCTGTGGCTCTCTGAGTAGGGTGCCAGCCCCATATACCAAGGGTGGCAGGTTCGGCCCCAGGCCAAACTACAACAAAAAATACCTGGGTGTTGGCTTGGTGCCTGTGGCTCAAGTGGCTAAGGCGCCAGCCACATACACCTAAGGTGGCAGGTTCAAATCCAGCCCGGGTCCACCAAACAATACTGGCTGCAACCAAAAAAAAAAAAAAAAAAACCGGGCATTGTGGTGGGCGCCTGTGATCCCAGCTACTTGGGAGGCAGAGGCAGGAGACTCACTTGAGTCCAGGAGTTGGAGGTTGCTGTGAGCTGTGATGCCACAGCACTCTACCCAGGGGGATAGCTTGAGGCTCTGTCTCAAAAAAAAAAATACCTGGGTGTTCTGGTGGGCACCTGTAGTCCTAGCTACTTGAGAGGCTGAGGCAAGAGAATCACCTAAGCTTAAGAGCTGGAGGTTGCTGTGAGCTGTGATGCCATAGCACTCTATTGAGGGTGACAAAGAGAGACTATCTCTTAAAAAAAAAAAAGAGAGAAGAGGGTGGGCTTAGGATGTGCTTCAGAGGAAAAGCAGCCATTGTGCTGATGGATTTGAGGCTGGGGAAAGATGGGAATCATAGGGCCTGCTGAGGTTTTATTTATTTTATTTTGTTTTAGGGACAAAGTTTCACTCATGGCATCATAGCTCACGACAACCTCAAACTTTTGGGCTCAAGTCATCTTCTTGCCTCAGTCTCCTGAGTAGCTGGGACTATAGGTACTCACCACCACATCTGGCTGATTTTTCTATTTTTAGTAGAGACTGGGTCTCACTCTTGCTCAGACTGATCTCGAACTCCTGAGCTCAAGCAATCCACCCACCTTGGCCTCCCAGAGTGCTAGGATTATAGGTGTGAACCACTGCCCTTGGCTTTTGAGTTTAAGACCTGAGCATCTAAGGGAAGGGCCAATGGCCATTGGCAGAGATGGGGAAATGGGAGGGATGGGCAGGTCAAGGAGGGGAGTTCTAATTTGATGGTCTTGAGAATGAGGGGCCTATGAGGGCTCCAGGTGGAGATGTTAAGCAGGCCACTGGGACTGGAGGTCCAAAGCTGCAGTCATGCTCAGGATAGGGGGCTGGAATCAAACAAAGCCAAGGGCTTGGTGATAACCAGCTGGGAAGGGACCAGGGAGCTTAGAGAGGACCCAGAAGGGGTTCCTTACCTTACTTAAGAGAATAGGATCTGATAAAGGAGACAGCCAGGAGTAGTCAGGGAGAATTAGAAAAGTAGGTGAAGATAACATTGGACCTCAGCCACTTTTTTCACTGTGGGAAGTATAGATAATATGAAATTTACCATTTTAACCTCTTTAACAGTTTAGTGGCATTGAATTCATTCACACTTGTGTGCACCCATCATCACTATCCATCTCTAGAACTTTTTTTTTCCTGCATTTTTGGCCGGGGCCAGGCATGAACCCGCCACCCCCGGTATATGGGGCTGGTGCCCCCATCTCTAGAAGTTCTTTCATCTTCCCAAACTGATCCAAAACTTTATTTTTAGTTTTTGAGTTATATTATGTTAGGCGGCTACTGTGTGTCAGGCAATGTCCTAGGCCCCAGTGGTAAGTGTGAAGGGCCAGACAACATAGACCTCTCTTCCTGGGAGGGCAGAAGCTAGACCTACCTGCAGGATGGTAGGTACTGGGCAGCTTCTTCAGTCATTGACATCAGGAGGCGCCCACACATGCGTACGCCCCCTGCTGGGCTGCATTTTGTTTTCCTTGTAATTTCCTCTAGTTCCACGTCATAAGTAATTTTAACAACTGCTGGGGCTAACTGGAAGAGTTAAAAGAGTTAAAAGAGTCCATGTGTATAATAGGAACTCTGATGATACCACCTCAGGCTTACCTGTGCCAGGTAAGTTTGTTCTGTCACTTTTGCTATTTGCAGAGACACAGAGAAGGGACTACACTGCTGATGGCCTCACTCGGTGTGCATGTGGCAGGACTGGGTTGGACCTCAGGGAGCTGACTTCAGGATCCTCGCCCCTTAGGCCCTACCCTCTGCTGCCTTGATTGCAGATTTGAAACATGGCCCCTTTGGAAAGGGGATGGGGCAGTGGTTTTGGACTCTGCAGAGTTATGTGTGGACATGTTCCCATCACCCCCATCAGCTTGTCCTAGGAAGCTCACGCAGCTCTAGGATGCTACAGGCCTTGACAGTTAAGCCTTGTAACCAGAGCCCATCCCTCTCTCACCTCCCAGCCACTCAAGTCACAGGGTCCGACCATGTGACTTGGCAGTTCTCCCAAACCAACCCCAATAGCTGTGCCCCACAGAGGTGGATTCCTTCCCTGATTACATTAAGCATTTTTTTTTCTTTGAGACAGAGTCTCACTCTGTGGCCCTGGGTAGAATGCTGGGTAGATGCTGACATCATCATAGCTCACAGCAACTTCAAACTCTTGGGCTCAAGTGATCCTCTTGCCTTAGCCTTAGGAGTAGTTGGGACTGTAGGCGCCTCCCACAACACCTGGCTAGCTTTTCTATATTTAGTAGTCATGGGTTTTTTTGTTTGTTTTTTGTTTTTCAGCATTTACTTACTTTCTGACCCTACAGAGCACTTTCCAGGCTCATCTTACATATTTCCTGCCCCAGTCCTAGAGTTAGCCATTTTTCCATGAAGCCCAGGTTTTGTTTTTTGGCTGGGGCTGGGTTTGAACCCGCCATCCTGGCTTATGGGGCCGGTGCCCTACTCCTTTGAGCCACAGGCGCCACCCTTGAAGCCCAGGTTTTTTAATTGCAGAATAGTCAGTGTTAGAAACCAAGATCTAGGCCTGAGGTATACTTGTTGCTACTGGAGTAATGCCTCCTTTTAAAAAATGAAATCTAGCTGGGCACTTTGGCTCACACCTATAATTCTAGCACTTTGAAAGGCTGAGGCGGGTAGATTGCTTGAGCTCAGGAGTTTGAGACCAGCCTGAGCAATAGCAAGACCCTATCTCTACTAAAAATAAAAAAACTAGCTGGGTGTTGTGATGAGCACCTGTAGTCCCAGCTACCTGGGAGGCTGAGGCAAGAGACTCTTGAGCCTAGGCGTTTGAGGTTGCTGTGAGCTGTGACGCCACAGCACCTACCCAGGGTGACAGAGTGAGACTCTGTCTCAAAAATAAATTTAAAAAAAAGTAAATTTTTTTTTTTTTGGCTGGGGCTGGGTTTGAACCCGCCACCTCTGGCATATGGGGCCGGCACCCTACTCCTTTGGGCCACAGGAACTGCCCCCCCCCAAAATGAAATCTTAATGTGGAATCCCAATATTTAAAACATGCTGAAAATAGAAAAGCAATAACTTGTTAGCCATATTTTGGAATAATTCCTGCAAATACTTTAAGATTCAAACTATTAATGTTAAACATCTTTTAGTATCTTTATTGGAGAAAAGCTTCCATTTAAAAAATCTGTAATCCTAGCACTCTGGGAGGCTGAGGCTGGTGGATTGCTTGAGCTCAGGAGTTTGAGACCAGCCTGAGCAAGATCAAGACCCTGTCTCTGCTAAAAATATAAAAACTAGCTGGGCGTGGTGGCAAGTACCCGTAGTCCCAGCTACTTGAGAGACTAAGGCAAGAGGATCTTTTGAGCCCAGAAGTCTGAGGTTGCGTGAGCTGTGATGCTACAGCACTCTAGCCTGTGGTAACAGAGTGAGACTTTGTCTCTAAGGGGTAACAGATTGAGACTCTGTCTCTAAATAAACAAATAATAGGCTCGATGTGCCCCTAGCACAGTGGTTAGGGTGCCATCCACATACACCGAGGCTGGCAGGTTTGAACCTGGCTTGGGCCTGCTAAACAACTATGTCTGCAACAACAAAAAAGTAGCTAGGCATGGTGGCAGGTGCCTGTAGTCCCAGCTACTTGGGAGGCTGAGTCAAGAGAATTAAGAGTTTGAGGTTGCTATGAGCTGTGATGCCACGCCACTTTACCAAGGGCAACATAGTGAGAACTGTCTCAAAAAAATAAATAAATGAAAGAAAAATAAATAAAATGTTTGAGAAACATTTTTGTCCAAGCATAATGGCCAGT